TCTCAGCAATATTGAATAAGTCACACATTCCGGCCCGCCCAGTGAGAACCACGAATTGGCAATGGGACATGCAGCATTGCAAAAGTAAAGCTGCGATAGCTCGAATCAAATAATAGTTTTAAACCAAACTCGAAGATGCCCTTTCAACAAAAACACCCGCTGCTGAAGAGATACAAACGCAGTGCAGATTTACAGCCCACGGTGGTTTCACTGCAACGTTTTAAATGGACAAGAATGGAGGGAGGGAGGGAGGGGGGGGGCAAGCATCCAAATGTATTGTGACAAAAGAGGCCTCTGGGAAATCCCATGATAAAGAGGTGTTCGAAACGAATTAAGAACCAACTAAGATGTTTCACACATGTAATCAATAGATGCACACAGGCTCCAGGCCTATAATGTGTAAAGTGCCTCGTAAGTCTGTAGGAATAACTATAGTTTCTGCAAGGGGTCGAACAATCGTGCCACATGGCAGCGGCTGGCAAATGCGAATGTATGTGCAGAGTTGGGGCCAATTCATCCCAATAAGTCATTGATTTGTTTAACCTTCGTACACAACTATTTTATTTATGAGTGTCGTATCCTGAAAGGGAGAGAGCCCAAGGTCGGCTGTCAGTTGACACAACATTGCCGTTCAGGGCAAAGAGAGTAAACATTATTGTGATTAATTTTGGTATTATACAGATACAATGGTTGGGTCAGAAAGTTTTCATATGGCATTTTATCTTCAGTTTGCCACGTATCCAGGTATTAAAAAACACTCGAAAAGACACAAACAGCTGCAGGCATTTTTGATTCCATTTTGACGTAAACAATGGACTTTTAAAAATGTATTTCCCTTATTTATATATTTACTTTAAAGGCATGCTGCATAGACTTTATACCTGCCCGTATCATTACAGCCCACCTCTCTTATCTACTTGCGCCATGTGAGCAAAGCACGAAATCCAATTAACGGTTGCAACACGCGAATGGAGCACATGGAAGTTTCCTGCAAAGCTCAATGCCATCTCCTTCAGCTAAGCTGGGCCCTGTAAGGCACCAGATGCCAGCCCGTTGATTCGCAGCAGAGCGATACACAAAGCTCCACAGTGGCGCAATCAAGGTCAAGGCATACAAGACAAAGACTCCCCATATAGCCTTAAGAGACTGCTGGGGCAAGTGCTGTTAGCGAGAACCAATTAAGGCTGCCACGGCACACTCGGGGGTGGGTGGCCAACGCCACGTGCGACAACCTTCGTCTCCCGAGTGGCAATGATTACACATTGCACCAGGTACTCATTTGAGGCCGAGTCGACCTCGGAGAGGCCCAGGACCGGGTCAGATAGAGTAGTCGTCACTGGTGTTGCCAGTGAGCGGGAATCAAACTCATGTGGCCGGGTTTGTTGCGCAGTCTATCCACTGTGCCACCGCTTCCCACACACCATGCATGATCTCACACCACTCGCACCAAACTGAAAAGTGTTTTTATAAAACCTTAAAGTGTGAACTTTGAGCGCAGCGCTTATCTTCGTTGATGCAAGTTATACCAAGCTGAGATGGATTATAAATGAGGCCGAGTTGACCCTGGCAGGGATTTAAATCTAAGTGTCACAACAGAGCCCTTGCTGCTACGGCCACAGGTACATAGCCTGATGTGCAATTGACTTTAATAAAGCCTGTGGCGCATATGACACAACACGTGGGATACGTACATATGCAGTGTACGGACACATGTTAAATACATAAAAGCACAGTGACGCACATACAACACGCTTGCGTTCGTAAAAAAAAAAACTTACACTGTTTCGTATACAGTATGATTTTGTTTGAGACATTCTTCAAAGCACCAGACGCCAGCTTTCTCTATCCAAAATTATGGTTGACCATACACGGGATATCGTTTGCAGATGTGTAAAATCCAATCAGCACCACGTCACAAAGGAATGGAACCCCCCCCAACCCTCCAGCTGTGACCTTAATTATATCCGATTATGACCATAAGGTCAGCCGTGCTTATTGAATGACCTATATGCCATAACATTAAGCGCAGGTTAATAGATTAATTGTAAAACTTCCTTGAATGGGCTTGACTCTGCAAAAGTTTGCTAAAACGCACCTTTGTCTGAATCGTATTACCGGAGCTGTCCGCACTGTAAACAGTATTATTTGCAAAACGCTCAATATTATATTCTTAGTTTTTTTCGGTAAAGTCACGTTGAAGAGAAACAACAAAATAACAAAATATATATAAAACAATAAAAAATTCTCACGACGTTTCGACCATAACTCAAACGGTCATCATCGTTGTTTTATATATATTTTGTTATTTTGTTGTTTCTCTTCAACGTGACTTTACCGAAAAAACTAAGAATACGCTCAATATTAGTTTATTACATTCTATTAAAATTCTATGCATGTGAATTTTTAAGCGTCGTTTACACTCGCAATTAATAATTTCATAAAATTCCCGATCATAACTTGTTTGCATCAAAAATAAAATATTGTAATCAACACCTATAATAATAGAAGCCCTGCTTAGTAAATTATAATTCCCCCCTACCCCATACTTATCCACAGATGTCCCTCTGTTAATTATCTATCAGAGCTCGGTCCAAAAAAAGGCTCTCGTTGTTTACAGCTGCACCTGTTCCCTAATTAAGTGGGGCTCCGGCGTGGCCCATTGGTGTCGAAGGCCGGCAGCGCCGCCGCATCTTCCAGCACTCAACGGGGCCTCTGCCCACCGTGGCGGTGTTTGGGGGGCCCCGTGTGCGTTACGTGCCACCGGATGCGCGCGCGACAACACGCGCGTTATAAATTTGTGGCATTTGTGGTACCATCGTCGAACTCTACAGCAGCGCGGGGGTGGTGGTGGGGGGGGCTGAGGTGACCGGGGCATCCCCACCAAAAACTGCGCCCCATAGCCACCCCAACACTCGTCAAAAAAATCCCCAAAGGGCCTTGCTGGTGTTTGCGCGCCGCTATTCATATCGACACACAGAGCCCCGCTTATCCTACCCCATACGTCGCGATGCGCGATGCAAAATCCGGCATTGCGCCCCTCGCAATGGTTAAGCCAGAGGTCGTGCGGGTCTATAAATAGAATGTAAAATTTATTTTTGCCAAAAATATTATTTAACCTGTCAATGGCCAGTATTTCATCCGTCAATCGATGTGATGACTATATCAGCATAATGAAGTGCATTTTTTTTTGTTTGGGCTCTGCCTTTCTTTACACAGCCACGGCTCCGACAATAAGGGGAGCCACCGGGCCGGGTTTTGTCGCCTCAGCTGCGGGCAGGCCCTGTCCCGCACCGCAGATGGGCAAGGTCAGAGCAGAGTGGCCCGCACGTGGCCTGAGAGAGCGAGCGAGAGAGCACGAGCGGAGCTCACTTTGAAGCAAAGCAGAGAGCCTGCTGCCAGTGAAGAGCGTGCCACTACAGCCCAAGCTGCAGCATTTGCCTCCGGCTGTTCTTCATATTTGATGGGATATCTAATTTTTTTATATATATTTACAGATAAAACCACAGATTCTCAAGTGTGCTCAGTCATTGCCGAATGGCAAACACATGTGAAGGGGTTTTGTCCTATCTTCCACCCCACACCCCCTACCCTCTGTTTAGTAACAAAGCTAGCCGAAGTGAATTTAGCACGTGGACTAAATCCGCCTTTAACAAAACCAATCTTCGCTAGCTAATGAAATACATGTTATACCGATTGCCTTTCGTTGCATAATTCTATTGAATTTAATCACGTTAATATATGTTCGGTCACAATGGAAAAACTACAATTATGCAGCATCGAGTTACGTGAAAAATGCCGTTTGCCGTTTATTAAAGTATTCCCAAAAAATGCTAATCCTTGCCGAGTGATATTCATTCTATAAGAGCCATTGAAATATTGACGTTCCCGACAGATACAAATGATTACCTTTCACTCCATGCATCATCTGGAGATTAAAATCGATGGCTCCCACAATGCCCTGCAGCAACCTCAGACACTTATCTGCTGCTGCAGTCTCTAACCCTTCCCACTCGAAAAGCCTGTGCTCAGCTGAACTTAGCCGAGTAGCATACACATACATAATTGATCTCTCAGATGCGTTTTCTGGTTGTACCGAGCGTAGCTCCGCACGACGTCCGACGTCTCGCTGCACGTGATGGGAGCTTCTTCGGGAACAGCATAACTTCAGGAAGCGAATATCCAATTAGAAGAAGCTACCATTACGTAGAGCGAAACGTCGGACGTCGTGACAAACGACACGCGGTTCAACCCAAAAAAACACTGGCGAGCAGCAAAGCACAACCACTAAAACCTACGGTCATATTGCTACCTCGTGATTACAGTACCCCACCGAGTTATTTTTAAACTGCCACATAACCTCTGAACTTGAGAAAAAGTGACCCGATATTTTTTTCATTTTTACGAGCTTTGAACTCGGGGGGGGGGGAGGGGGCCTTGACGCAAGCTTGGTAACATTTAGTCGCACACTTGGATATCAAAAAAGGTAACTTTTGTTTCTGCTAGTGTATTTGAGCAGGAATTACTTATTTGCGGAAGGCAGTAACGTGTACACAAATGCCTGCCCTTGCGAGGCTCTTGTTGAGTCCAAGCCAGCGGATGTGTGTGTATGTTGAGACACGTTATGGTATCGGCTTTCAACCAGGACCTTGGACTTCAAAGAAGGTACACAGCCTTCTGGTGATGCAACAACCCACGGAACTCGCATTAGTGACTGACGCAAAAGACCCAATCAACTGGCCCGATAGAGGTTTCGTTTGTTTTCCCCCTTGACAACAAATTGTCCATTGTCGATTGTATCAGTGAATTAACTAGTTGGCCATTTCATGGATGATCTCCCAACTTAATTTACATATTGCTTATTTGTATCTACCATAATCAGCTTGGCAACACTTGCTAAGCAAATATGAAGTTAAACACATTCAAGTTAGATCCCACGACGTGGACGCAGATGTCTTTAAAAATGCGGGATCCAATGTGCGCCGGCGTGATGCTTTACTCACCATTGAGCGAGAGCAGATTGTCCATTCCAGGGTGTGGGTAACCAATGCCCAAGCGACCTGCAAACACAACCCACACACGTCCCTTGAGCCACGCAGACAATCAGCCTCAGCCGCAGGGCCATATGTTCATGCGCAAGGCACGGAGTTAAACATCAACTCAATCTAGGACATCGGTAAATCATTTAAAAAGAATCGATTTTTCACTTTTGCTTAAATAAAAAAAAATCTGCCGATGCCTCCTCCGAGCCGTAGCTCGAACGGGGATGCACGAGAAAGAAAACCCGCAGCTACGAAGGACGCGCGCATTGGGCGTCCGAGCGTCAACGCGCGCACTTTAAGCGATACATCCGATAACGGCACAAAAATACATTTTGCTCTTAATGTACAGTATTTATGATTTGACCGATTAATAAAAAAAATGAATGCTTGGAGGAGGACATTGGAAAAAAATAAATAAAGGTTTCGGTTTTTCCCCACAAACAAGGCAGTGCATTTGCGTACTCTGTGGAATATTTTTGTTTCCGAGACATAAATAATTAACATTGGACAATAAAGGTCAACTAGATCCCTATTGCGAGTGGGGAGCTGTTGGAGCCGAGATCATTAAGATTCCGCCCGGACAACCAACACCCTCGTAGTCTGGCTGTGAGCGCCTGCAATCAAGTCTGCAGCGTGCCTGTGTACGTGCCTGTGTACGTGCCTGTGTACGTGCCTGTGTACGTGCCTGTGTACGTGCCTGTGTACGTGCCTGTGTACGTGCCGCGCGCGTGCGTAGCAGCAGATAAAGGTGCACTCAAAACAAACACACGGCCCTGGCACACTCCTGGTGATTTATTTATTCGATGCATGTGCGTGCTATAGAAATCCTGCTCGATTTCAGCTCAATGGAAACCCCCCCCCCTTGCTCTCTTGTCCTTCCAATGGGAAAAATACAAGGGCAGAGGATACAAAAAACCGTGACCATTAAACAACACAAACAAAGCAATTGGCGATATCAGAGCAGAACAGAGTTGTTAATAAAACATCAGAGTTCGTTCCTGCTTTGTGAACCGATTTGCCATTGTAACCCCCCCCCTGGCAATTTATAACTCGCGGTTAATCGACATATAAATGCATCTGTCCGGAAGTAAGCACCACCGGTGGTAAAGTGAATAGATGGAAGAGGAGAGTGGGGGGGGAGATAATGCTGAAGCTGATCATCCTGTTCATTGGGATTGACAGAGGGTGGGGGGGGGCGAGGGATGGGGGGGCATAAACACGCCGTCCAGAGTCAAAACTATGAAGCCGTGGAGCAAGTATAAAACAGTGGAACTGTATGGTTTTTTTTTATGTGACCAAGGTAAAAAATAAACAGGAATTAGACTTAAATTTAGGCCGGTGGTAAATATTTTCAAAGCACTTTGAACTTGTTTTGCCATTAAAACTTGAGATTACTCGGCGGGTCGCAAAACGATTGCTGTACACAACAAAAAACGCACATTAATATTTCGGCTATTATTATCTCAGTAATAATTGAACAAAAAAATATGCATTCGTCGTAGAAATGAGGTGGGGGGGGGGTAATATAACTTTTCAAGGACGTAACCAACATGTGTTTGCAACAAAAGGCAGGGCCGAACGCAAATGAAGCTCGTGCAGCACACAAAACTGTGGAAATGTCAATTGTTCTGATGGAGACGGACACAAAGGGGAGACAGCGGGGAGAGAAGAGACAGGGATTAAGCAATGTGGACATTGAGGGCACGCGATGAGTCAGCGCCTCTGCCAGCAGCCATTGCAGATAACGCTTAGTAAACAGGCCGAGCGTAGTGTTGGGACAGAGCGGCAGGGAGAAAAATAGCAAAGTGACCTTCAAAGTCTGCTGGCAAAATATGGGGCCCAGGCACTCGCATGGCTCTTCATTGCCGAGCGAGCGAGTTGGCTGGCTGGCTGGCTGACTGGGAGGAGAGAATAAAACTGGCATGAATGTTGCCGGCCCATCTGGGCCCTGTACGACTCCAGGATGGAAACTGTGCGACGGCGCCCTCGCATTTCTCGTACAGTTCCATCTGCTGGGATTAAATGTTCTCCATTCTGAAATCCCGCAGCCTTTACCCTTCCTGCCCACCGACGATGGATTTAAATAGACTGTGATGAGAGGCACCGATGGCAAACAGACAGCTTTTTTTTTAGTGCAGCGGATATTTATACGATTCGTCATGCAGTCGAGTCGGGACAATCTTGTAAAATATAAAAGAAGCAATAGGCTAATATACAAACTATCACAATTTATTCCATCAGCATAGGTACTGTACATTACTACTATTTGCCATCGAAAACGAGTGAGAACACAAAATTTGCAAGACTCGGTCACTGTACAGAACGGCATGGTAAATGGGCCATTCGGAGGTTTTTAAGAAATATGCAAATTCTCTACATAACCATGCAGCACTGCTAAAGCACAAGCTCAACCAAGCAATACATGGCTTTGAATTTTCGTGCCCCAGTTATATTCTAATTGTACAGTCAGTGTCATATCGTGAGATTAAGAAGTTCCCATTCGGAACCCGCAATTAGCGGCGCACCACCCGAAATCAGAAAACGATGACTAGAAGATAAGGCAAGCAAATTATTGTTGGTCATTTCAATCAGGACACCAAGCGACACACACTTTAACACTTCTGGCAGTGAGTGATTGTATCATTGCAATCGGAAAGGGAATGAAACATCTGGGATATAAAAAATTAAGTGAAAAATCTCGTTATTATGGCTTTATTGTTAAACCAAATGGCAACTGAGCAGAGACCATTAACTCACGACACTCGAGGGCACAGTTTAATCCAGGGTAAGGGGCTGAATTTGAACCCAGGAACTTAGTGGAGGCAGCCCAGTGTTCAGGTACTTGAGAGGTCCTACTACCTTCAACAACCGTACAACCTACAAATGATTTACAACACTTTTTGCAGTGCTTTGTCTATTACGATATATAAAAATATGTTAAGGTGAGTATATAACTATACTAGCAACTAGGATAAGACATTTAATTATTTTTAGCAAATATTTGTGTATTTCATTGTGCATCTTAGACACGAATCAATTGTTACAAAAAAGCATTTCACAGTCTTCTCATATACACTGTCAATGAATGTGGTAGATACATGTGTATATACTTTAACCAGTACACATTGAAATTTTTGCCAAATATTGAAAATATTTAAAATATGCACAAAAGAGCCATTCAACAGTATTTTATATTTTAACAATTCCAGCACATATTTTCCACTACGTTTTTTTTCATACGTATATTAAAACAAAAATGAAAAGTGCGCGGGGCACAATTTCCAGTGCCCATGTCGCCCTGCGGCACAGTGGGGCTGCTGTTGAAAGAAAACGATGTGCCAGACCGGTTACACTTTTATTGGCAGCCGCTGCACAGCCGCGAGCATCGTTTGGCAGGGCCCTGCCGGTCAGTGTGGATCGTAATGTTCTTGGCTGGCCGTCTTTGCGCACAAACGCTGGGGACGGGGAGGGACGTCTAAATTGGGATGCGGGGAGATCAGGTGGAATTCACGTGCCCGTGCTCTTTTGCACACGAGCCTCAAAAGCAGCTGGGGATGAAGGGCAGATGCTGCAGCGCATTTGACAACACCCCCCCCTCGACCCAGAATGCACTCGGCCCTCCCCAAATTGGTGTGGATCGAGATCGAGATTTGTTAATACGATTCGTGCGCCACAACGCACGAATCGTATCACGCGACCGAGCGTTTTGGAGCGGCGGTGCGTTGAATCACGTGCTGTGCTATCGACTCTGTGCCCCTCCCCACCCCCGAGTTTGAGGCCAGGGCTGATACCAGTGGGGAGTGATACTTGAACCGGTCCTGGGCAACCCCCCGGCGACTACCAGGTTCACCAGCCTGCACTGACCATGTGCTATGAGAAAGGGCCATTGCCTGAAACGTCACCGATTATATATTGTTTTCATATAAATCAGCGTTGTTGATGGGTGGCTTTTTATGGCAGTGAAGGACAAAAACCACCATGAGCAATACAGCATGGGGAGGACTTTATCAAGCAGCAGATTCACAATTATTGGTTACTGTACTGTGAATTTTCCATTTAGTTTTTTGTCTGTTCCACAATACTATTCCAATTATTGGATCAGTGTAAAGGATAATGGGTCAAAGGATCCTTTAATTGATGAACTGATCATGAGGACCTTCACAGAGTAATGCATCCCCTTCTGTTAGACAACAGCTCATGGAAGGTAACATTACCATGGTACAGCCGAGAACCCTTCAATAACCCCCTTTATACACACTTTGTCACACGCCCTTGCTACAAAGACACGTTTGTTTGCATGGCAATAAAACAAATACGTTTAATTCTAAGAGCTGGAAAATACTGAAAAAAACAAGTTGTGCAAGTTTTGGTGACTGGGCTTACACCATCAAATCCCTAAACTAGAAAAACCACTTTAATCATGGCTGTCTGCTCTATTCAAATCAAGGATCTCACCCTGCCAGTGCTGAGCCCTGCGTTATTCGAACAACTTAGATTTTCTAAGGAAGATCGGAGTGGTTAAAGTGTCTTCATGGTCAAACGAGCATTAGGGCTGCACTTCACATTACTACGCTGGGTACTTATTTAATTGGCCCTGAATGAATGATGGGCTGGGTAAATGCCAACTAGGATTTTTTTTTCAAAGGAGCAGCCTTCTGATTTGTAAGTTAATTATTAGGTATCTTCATGACCAGTTGTTTGAATATCCCAATGCCAAGATTTAAAAACAAATGTGACAGGATGATATTTGGCTGCAGGTCACATACACGTGCAAATTTCAGAACACAGTACAAGCCAAACATCAAAGTGAAAGAAAATATATCAATGCCAATAAACATCTCACTGTATACTGCAAATATAGGACATAGGCTGTATATAACATACATGAAATGCGGAGTCCTAAAGCTTGACAACTTACGTGTCCTTTGCTTAATGTTAACGGGCTCAATTGACCTCTGGGCAGTTCTGCGATTTTGAAGTACATTGCGTAATTTCTTAATGCATAGTTAATCATTCAT